GCACCCACACCTTGATGTCGGACCCCTGGGAGGGGAGGGGGGGGGGGAGATCAAGAAAAACCACACCTGCGGCTGCAATTTGTGGTTAACCACACGTCGACTGCAACATCACGCAGCCTTGAAAAATGTTTGGTCCTTGACGCAACCACAAACAACTGTTGATGTTTTGGTGGTATTGCAAGCATGACAAGTATTGCAAGCATGACAAGTATTGCAAGCATGACAAGTATTGGAAGCATGACAAGTATTGGAAGCATGACAAGTATTGGAAGCATGACAAGTATTGCAAGCATGACAACCGTGGACAATGCAACTGTTCACGTTTTTAGTTAATAAGTAGATCAAATATATATATATATATATATATATATATATATATATATATATATATATATATATATATATATATATATATATATATATATATATATAGTATTATGTATGTGCTTTGTCCTAGACTATATTCACAATGACACATACACATACATGCATCTGTACAAGTAGGCTATATACTATAAAAGGTGCTTTTCCTAGAAATACATACAAATACATTTATGAAATTTTGCATATATAAATAATCAATGGATGAATGCACATTACACATATGTGATCTATGTATGTTTGTATTGAATCTGGAAATGTTTAAAATAACTAGTGTAATATGAACATTATATATATATATATATATATATATATATATATATATATATATATATATATGTATGCTAAATATATGTATAGTTACATCTAAGTATGTTGGTATACATTTAGAGCTGTCATACAGACATGTTCACTCGTGGGGTCAAGTGTTGTATAATTAACTGTCTGTGTTTTATATGTAAAAGTACTTCAAAGCACACATTTATACTCATTTTGTTAACAACTAAAATTATGTTTTTTCGATTACAAATTTTAAAATTTGATATCTCCACTGATAAATTATAACACCAGCTTGTATTAAAAGTTATACAGATATATATTAAAACAAAACAAATAAGGTTTTTTTTTTTATTGTATAGTGATTTTTTTTCTTCTGAATACATACTATGGGAGATAACTCTATTTTTGTATTAATTTAAAAAAAACGTTGACTAAGCTACCAGTACTAGTGACTAAAAATGGTACAAGGGAGGCGATCCAAAGTACTATGAGGAACTAGTACATGTGTAGTTGAGTTCCTTTACTTGATTTAGTAACACATTAATATCAAATAAGATAGAATGTCAAAAAAAGATATGTTTATAGTTGGTCTATATTTAGTAAGTATAATAAAGTGTTATATTTTTTTAATTATATCAACTGTATTCGATGATCTACCAAAAGTCTTATCAAAATAACGAAGTCAAACCTTCATATGCTTTCTGGCAAAGCTATCATCAATGATGAACAATGAATTCAAGTAATTTTATTTCTTTACTTACTAGAACAATTTTAAATAAAATAACTAGAGCAATATTTTAAGTAGAAAAAAGTGTTTCAGTAGATGAAATATATATAGCCTATATATATATATATATATATATATATATATATATATATATATATATATATATATATATATATATATATATATATATATATATATATATATTCAACACCGGTGCAGTTTAATATACTTAAATAACTGCCAAATATCCTTTTATAAAAGCCACTAATTTAATATTCTACTTTATAATCTACTTTAATATCCTACGTTATATATTCATTTAATTTATGACTTTTATAATCTACTTTATACCCCCATTTAACATAGAAATACTGCTTTCTCAAACTACTGTAATACTTTTTGTTTTATTGTACTATTTTAATACTCTACTTTATTATTTTAATTTAATCCACTACTTTGATACACAACTATTCTTTTTACGACACCGTCAGTTCATTTAATTTTACTTCACTGTTTATTAACACCGTCTTATTCTATCTTAAACCTATTGTGTACTGACTCAAAATATATTGGAAACATCTAGAAAAAGTTGAAGTTATTTGCATAGGCAACTTGTACAAAGTCAAAATAGTTTTTTGAAACAAGTTCAGACTATCGTTTTAGATCACTGTGGTTATTATAAATGCAGTCTGCAATTGGTAAACCTAATTTAATATAAAGAGAAATATTACTCAGGGTATTTTCATATAGGGTCTACCTAATACAACACATGAAATGTACCACAGGGTAATACACAATATGAATGGAGAATGGCTGATTTGTGTTTAATTGTGTTGGTCAAATATTAATAAGGATTTGTGGTAGAAGAAAACCAAGAAGGTGACTTGTTGCATAAAGATTAAAAGATCCCTGTTATAACATGAAGATTACCAAGAAGGGGACATTTGTGTTTAATGCACCTTTGGCCACCTCTAATTTATGAGACCTGGGGCCACCTCTGTGAGACCTGGGGCCCCCTCTAGTTTGTAGGACCTGGGGCCACCTCTAGTTTGTGCATCGGGGCCACCTCTAGTTTGTGAGACCTGGGGCCACCTCTAGTTTGTAAGACCTGGGGCCACCTCTAGTTTGTAAGACCTGGGGCCACCTCTAGTTTGTAAGACCTGGGGCCACCCCTAGTTTGTGAGACCTTGGGCCACCTCTAGTTTGTGAGACCTGGGGCCACCTCTAGTTTGTGAGACCTGGGGCCACCTCTAGTTTGTGAGACCTGGGGCCACCTCTAGTTTGTGAGACCTGGGGCCCCCTCTAGTTTGTGAGACCTGGGGCCACCTCTAGTTTGTGGGACCTGGGGCCACCTCTAGTTTGTGAGACCTGGGGCCACCTCTAGTTTGTGAGACCTGGGGCCACCTCTAGTTTGTGGGACCTGGGGCCACCTCTAGTTTGTGAGACCTGGGGCCACCTCTAGTTTGTGAGACCTGGGGCCACCTCTAGTTTGTGAGACCTGGGGCCACCTCTAGTTTGTGAGACCTGGAGCCACCCCTAGTTTGTGAGACCTTGGGCCACCTCTAGTTTGTGAGACCTGGGGCCACCTCTAGTTTGTAAGACCTGGGGCCACCCCTAGTTTGTGAGACCTTGGGCCACCTCTAGTTTGTGAGACCTGGGGCCACCTCTAGTTTGTGAGACCTGGGGCCACCTCTGTGAGACCTGGGGCCATCTCTGTGAGACCTGGGGCCACCTCTAGTTTGTGAGACCTGGGGCCACCTCTAGTTTGTTAGACCTGGAGCCACCTCTGTGAGACCTGGGGCCACCTCTAGTTTGTGAGACCTGGGGCCACCTCTGTGAGACCTGGGGCCACCTCTAGTTTGTGAGACCTGGGGCCACCTCTAGTTTGTGACACCTGGGGCCACCTCTAGTTTGTGGGACCTGGGGCCACCTCTAGTTTGTGAGACCTGGGGCCACCTCTAGTTTGTGAGACCTGGGGCCACCTCTGTGAGACCTGGGGCCACCTCTAGTTTGTGAGACCTGGGGCCACCTCTAGTTTGTAAGACCTGGGGCCACCTCTAGTTTGTGAGACCTGGGGCCACCTCTAGTTTGTGAGACCTGGGGCCACCTCTAGTTTGTGAGACCTGGGGCCACCTCTAGTTTGTGAGACCTGGGGCCACCTCTAGTTTGTGAGACCTGGGGCCACCTCTGTAAGACCTGGGGCCACCTCTAGTTTGTGGGACCTGGGGCCACCTCTGTGAGACCTGGGGCCACCTCTAGTTTGTGAGACCTGGGGCCACCTCTAGTTTGTGAGACCTGGAGCCACCTCTAGTTTGTGGGACCTGGGGCCACCTCTAGTTTGTGGGACCTGGGGCCACCTCTGTGAGACCTGGGGCCACCTCTGTGAGACCTGGGGCCACCTCTGTGAGACCTGGGGCCACCTCTAGTTTGTGAGACCTGGAGCCACCTCTGTGAGACCTGGAGCCACCTCTAGTTTGTGGGACCTGGGGCCACCTCTAGTTTGTGGGACCTGGGGCCACCTCTGTGAGACCTGGGGCCACCTCTAGTTTGTGAGACCTGGGGCCACCTCTAGTTTGTGAGACCTGGGGCCACCTCTGTAAGACCTGGGGCCACCTCTAGTTTGTGAGACCTGGGGCCACCTCTGTGAGACCTGGGGCCACCTCTGTGAGACCTGGGGCCACCTCTAGTTTGTGAGACCTGGGGCCACCTCTGTGAGACCTGGGGCCACCTCTAGTTTGTGAGACCTGGGGCCACCTCTAGTTTGTGAGACCTGGGGCCACCTCTAGTTTGTGAGACCTGGGGCCACCTCTAGTTTGTGAGACCTGGGGCCACCTCTAGTTTGTAAGACCTGGGGCCACCTCTAGTTTGTGAGACCTGGGGCCACCTCTAGTTTGTGAGACCTGGAGCCACCTCTAGTTTGTGGGACCTGGGGCCACCTCTAGTTTGTGGGACCTGGGGCCACCTCTAGTTTGAGAGACCTGGGGCCACCTCTGTGAGACCTGGGGCCACCTCTAGTTTGTTAGACCTGGGGCCACCTCTAGTTTGTGAGACCTGGGGCCACCTCTAGTTTGTGAGACCTGGGGCCACCTCTGTGAGACCTGGGGCCACCTCTGTGAGACCTGGGGCCACCTCTAGTTTGTGAGACCTGGGGCCACCTCTAGTTTGTGAGACCTGGGGCCACCTCTGTGAGACCTGGGGCCACCTCTAGTTTGTGAGACCTGGGGCCACCTCTAGTTTGTGAGACCTGGGGCCACCTCTGTGAGACCTGGGGCCACCTCTGTGAGACCTGGGGCCACCTCTAGTTTGTGAGACCTGGGGCCACCTCTAGTTTGTGAGACCTGGGGCCACCTCTGTGAGACCTGGGGCCACCTCTGTGAGACCTGGGGCCACCTCTGTGAGACCTGGGGCCACCTCTAGTTTGTGAGACCTGGGGCCACCTCTGTGAGACCTGGGGCCACCTCTGTGAGACCTGGGGCCACCTCTAGTTTGTGAGACCTGGGGCCACCTCTAGTTTGTGAGACCTGGGGCCACCTCTAGTTTGTGTGCCCATAGGCTACCTGTCGTTCAAGTCTAACAAAGGTGAGACAGGTGAGGGGGTAATAACTCGGCCTACCTGTGACAGGGGACGCTGACAGCCCAGGTGTGGCAATTTGCTGGTCGCCGCGAACACCTGGAAGAAAAAACAAATGACACTTTGTTATGTATAGGCCTAAAGCATTACATGCCAACATATGACACTTTGTTATGTATAAGCCCAAAGCATTACATGTCAACATATGACACTTTGTTATGTATAGGCCTAATGCATTACATGGCAACATATGACATTTTGTTGTGTATATACCTGAAATATTAAATGTCAACATATGAATCTTTGTATGTATAGGCCTAAAACATTACATATCAACATATGACACAAGAAAATCTCATGCTGCGACTATGCTAGATATTCTTTCAACACAGTATATATATATATATATATATATATATATATATATATATATATATATATATATATATATATATATATATATATATATATATATTCGGATCTCGAATTCCGATCTCGGTCCAGACTTAATTACGCTTATCGTCCATGAGTCCACCCAGCTCTAATGAGTTCCTGACTCATGTTATATATATATATATATATATATATATATATATATATATATATATATATATATATATATATATATATATATATGACTATATAAATTAATTATACAGGCTATAGTGGCTATACAAGATTTTATTTTGAATGAGTTGTACAAATAAGTACAAATAATGTCTATGAAGAGTAAATTAGCAACGTGCTACAGATTAGGCTAAAAATAGGAATGATGTTCATGAGCTTGTACCAGTTTGGTAGTTGGTGAGTAATTGATGTGAGGTACCAAATGGATGCTTTGTATTTTCTGATGTAATGTCTGTCTATATCACAACAGACTTTCGTCTATATCACAGCAGACTCTCATCTCAGCCAACGTGGTCTGGGTTATGTCTTATGTTTGTTACGGGTATATTTTGGTGATTTAAAAAAAACATACAGGAAAATTAATTGGCTTTGAAATTGTAAATTTTGTTTAATTATTTTGAAATCATGGAAATGATCTATGCTAAAATGTTCACGATATTTCAATTAGGTCTACATATACATGCTTTAAAAAAATACATACTTTATACAGAACAAAAAAAAATTATATACTGTTTCGAATTATCTATATTTGGAACAAAGAATGTTTCTTTTTTTAATTTACTCAGATGTAAAAAAAATTGCTATAGATTCTATAACATTTTTGTAAGTTATAACTTTTGTATGGATAAGTTTTGTGGCAGGAATACATATCTCAGGTAAAGTATCTGAGATAAACTATTTGAAACTAATATCAGACAGAAAATCTCAGACAAAATATCTCAGACACAATCTCTTGACACAAAATATCTCAGACAAAAAATTTTGATACAAAATAGCTCATACAAAATATCTTGATACAAAATATCTCAGACAAAAATATATCTCAAAATTTATATTTTACCTAAGATATTTTCTCTTTATATCTCAGAAAATGTATCGAGGCAAAATATCTATCGTGATAGAAATTTCGTCGCTAAGATACTTTGTCTGTAATATTTTGTGTGTGAGATATTTTATCTGGGATATTTTGTGTCAATATATTTTATCTGAGATATTATGTTGTTTAGATATTTTGTCGGTTAGATTTTTTTCTGAGATATTTATATTTATCCGTTACATATTTTGTCCGTGTGATATTTTGTGTCAAGATATTTTATCTGAGATATTTTGTCCATGTGATATTTTGTGTCAAGATATTTTATCTGAGATATTTTGTCCATAAGATAATTTGTCTGTGAGATATTTTTTCAAGATATTGTGTTCATAAGATGTGTAATGAGAATATATTTTGTCTGAGATAATTAGTTAGTGAAATATTCTATCCGTGAGATATTTTGTCTGTGAGATATTTTGTCCATAAAATATATTGTCCATAAGATAGTTTTGTAATGTAACAACCTTCGAAGTTATAGTGAGATCAGTAACAACTAGACGTTAGCAAGTGTAGATCATCTCATATATAAACAACGTCCCCAGCTTTTCAGCTCTGTCTTAGAGGAACCAGAGCCTGTATCTCTAGATGTGTAATGGCGAGTGTGATTTTAACACCTTAAAACATACAATTACAGTTTTAATCACACGGTACTGATTGTATCGGTATCTTCATCCCCATTTTAAACCACACTATATGCCACAGTACCGCACGCCGGTGATTCGCTTGATCCAAACACCATTTACACCACCACCACAACCACACCAACCACCCACACGCCGGTGATTCGCTTGACCCAGTCACCATCCACACCACTACAACCACACCAACTACAGCATTACAGCAGCTACCACACCAAACCATCCACATCAGTGGCGTCACATATCAACAGCATCAAACATAACGACAACACTCATCACAACCAGAACACCACAAATATGCCACCCACTACCATTTATCACTACTTAAACCAATGATCACTAACATTGCCTGGTTATTTCAAAAGTAATATTCACTTTGTAAACTACGTTAACATCAGTACATAATGACAACTGCAGGGAATAATCTTCAAGAAAATGTTTAAATAACAATTATATATCAATAAATCATAGAATGGCCGAGTTAATAATATAACAACTATTACATTATAACATAAAGATTTCATATTAGAGAACGAAAATGATAACTATATAGATAAATCTAATCCGGATAACCCATAAACGGTGACAGACGGTATGCTATGCTGATAGAACTAACAGTAAAACTGAGAGGATGGGGATAATCAAATATAGTCACCAAGCTTATGAAATTTAACATATAATTTGTATTCATATTTAGAAGTTACCTGAGTAATTTTACAAACACGATGTAGTTATTTAGTTTAAGAACTTTTAAATATATTTGTAAAATGAATTTTTATTCGCCTGAAGTTATGAAATTGTTAACATAATACACAGAACATATAATGTCCAAGTAGATGTCATGCTTGGATGTCAAGTATTTTGCCAAGCACATTAGTAACAAATCAAACAAGTATAAAACGACTACACTCAGAGAGTACTCATCCAAGTAGTGGCGTAGCGAGGTCGGGTGTCACCCAGTGCGGCACTTAATGGCGTAGCGACACTTCCCGGGGACAAACTTTCAATTTTCAATTTGCACCCCCCCCCTCAAACTTTCGATTTACACCCCCCCCCCCCCCCGTCAAACTTTCGATTTGCACCTCTTAAAACACTATTTATCATTTGTCTCTCTATATTTTGCTATTTTTTGCCTTGGTGTCACCCCCCTAAATGGTGTCACCCGGTGCGGTCCGCACCCCCCCCGCCCCCCCCCCCCCCTCGCTACGCCTCTGTATCCAAGTATGGCCAGAGTAATATTTATTTTAAAAATATTTCGATGCATTCGTAATGCAATTTTAACTTTTTAAATTCTTAAAATAGGTTTATGTTAAAGGCTGATTGATTTAAACTCTATAACGCATATGAGAATTTAGATCTAAAATTTAAAAGACCTAAAGTAATGCATTTTTAAAGTAAAAAAAAGTATTTTTTTCAAAGTAGTATACTGTCCGAAAATTTAAAAATTTAAAAAAAAATTGGACTTACGCATTAAGAAAAATACAAGATGACGTCAATTTATAAATTAAATCAATAAGAGAATTAGAAACACCTGGAGATTCAAAGTATTAATGTGAGTTATTTGTGTATCTGATTTATTGATGTATAAATTTGAATTATTGGTGTATAAATTAGAATTATTAGTGTATAAATTTGAATTATTAGTGTATAAATTTGAATTATTAGTGTATAAAATTTGAATTATTAGTGTATAAATTTGAATTATTAGTGTATAAAATTTGAAGTGTAGAAATTTGAATTATTAGTGTATTGATCAAAAATAGTTTACAAGTTGTACTCAACCAACGCATCAACAAGGCGTGCCAGTCTTTATATAATAAATACAGAAATTGACTTTGAAAAAAATTATAATGAGCTGAACCAAAATTTAAAGTTTAAAAATAATTTGTACACAAGAGTTGGGTGTTAACATGGGTCCCCAAACTCAAGCCATGGCGGACAAAGCACGACAGACGGAGACGTTAATTCAAATAACAGCCTGTACAAATGTAGGTAGACATAGATCTAGATTTTAACTGAAAATGAAAGAGACGAAAGAAGTGTTTGGAATTCTGAAATTAAAACATTTTAAAATTTTAAATCAGTCTTTTTGAATTTGAGTCAGAGAATATAGGTCTACATATTTTTTTAAAATAGTATTTGTTCTGATCAAAAATTGTTTGAGTTTGAAACATAAAGATAATATAGATTGGTGCACTCAAAACTAAGATGTACATTTTTATTCACATAAAATGTTAAGTTCATACCATTAGGTGTGTTATGTGGAAAGTAGTTTAACGGAACTTACAACAGAACCTCAATGGAAACTTCATGACTAAGTCTTTACTTACAAAAATCTAAACAGATTTTAGAAATTGAATACACATCAATACATTTTAGACATTTTACAGAAAATTACTCTGAAAATGGGTAGGTTTTTAAATTAATAAATTATTTAACAGATATTAGAAAAATGTCAAAAAATTATTTTGTAATCCGCACGTAATGAAAAAGCTTATAAAATGTAGTTTGGTGTTTATACTACAGAACGTAAAAAAAAGTTATGGAAACTTATAATTAAGATGTGAACAAATGAAACAACAATAACTAGACTTTTGGAAGATTTAATGAGATAATCGTAACAAGACTTCAGAAAGATTCAACATGGAATAATTATAACTAGACTTCAGAAAGATTGAATGAGACAATAATAACAAGACTTTAGAAAGATTCATGAGATAATAATAACAAGACTTTAGAAAGATTGAATAAGACAATAATAACTAGACTTTAGAAAGACTAAATGAGACAATAACTAGACTTTTGAAAATTAATAGAATATCCAAACGAGAAGTAAAAAAAAATTGAGATAATTAGAGAGGGCAAGTTTAGATCGAGAATTTAACACTTACAGATAGTTTAAATATAGACAATCATTTAGACATATAGATAATTAGAAATACAAATTTAAAACCATAAAA